AGGCTGGCCCATGGTGGGGGGAGGTCCATCTGGGAATGGGGTAACAGGCTGAAGGACTAAAAATAGCTTAGTACCAGGGAGGGGGTAAGAAAAGTGCAGCTCCGAGCTGGGGCCAGTGGGTGGCCTTTCCCAGGCCCAGTTATGTGCTGGGTGCTATACAGAAGTTCATGTACTTCAGTCTTCTCAGGCCCAATCTAAGTTATGTTACATTGGAGGTACAGTTAACTTAGATTGGGTTGGCCATGTTAGACCAATCTAAACTTCCTGAACTTCTGTACAGTTCACACTTAGAACCACCTAACTAGCGATATAGGTGTAAGGTCCTTTCTGTATGAACTAAGTTAGATTGGGTGGCCATTTTTAATGCTGTCCAAATGTCTGTATGTACCCAGAAACACCACTATAAGACATGCTATAAGAAATAGTAGGGGAGATGAGAGCATTGCCAATGTTGTCCTACTAAAATGGTAGAAAAGTATTTGATCAGTACCTAACTCAGAGGATCCTAGGATAAGAACCATGTTCAGTGCTAAAAAGACCTCCCCCACTAAACACCGACTGCAATCCTGACTTAAGTAATAAACATTTTTCCAGACCTCAAATTTGACTGTAAGTAGGTGTGTCTACATGAGACATTTTACTGTGTAGTAGAGCAAATTACTACACAGTAAGTATCACCATCTGCACATGCAGACACTTACTATGCAGTAATTTGTTCTACTCTGCAGTTAATTTGGTACCTGCAAATGCTGGTAGCAAATTAACTGAGGAGTAGTTACTATGCAGTAGGGCACATATAGATTGCTCTCTGCCCCTGGGAGCTGCCCAGTGCCAGGGAGGGTTCTGGTGGTGGAGCCACAGCCAGGACAATGTCCCCCTGCCCTAGCGGAAGGGAGCTTCCAGCCCCCACTCCAATTGTGGAGCAGAGACTGGGAGCTCCCTGCATGAATAGAGTTCGCCACCCAGCCTGGAGCTGGCTGGGACCTGTCCTAAACTGGAACAGTTCCTGGCCAGCCCCAGGCTATTCAGGGAAGTCTGGATGTGCAGCCTGGAGCTGGATGGGAACTGCCCAAAATGGGAAAGTTCCCAGTCAGCTCCAGGCTGCATGTGCAGAATTTGGCACACAGCCCAGGGCTGGCAAAAACTGTCTCAGTCAGGGGCAGGTCCCAGTCCTGCAGCTCTTTCCCAGCCCTGTGCCCCAACTGGGCGATCAAGGCAGGGGCTTCGAAAGAGCTGCAGGGGAGGGGTAGGTCCCAGCCCTCTGCCCCAATCCACCAGTGGGGCAGCTAGCAGTGAGCTCCCTGTTGGGTGGGAAATCCCTGCCCAGCCAGGGGCTCGCTGCTAGCTGCCCCACTGATGGATTGGGGCAGGGGCCTGAGATCTTTCCAAGCCCCCTGCCCCCGCTCGGGGAGCCAGGGCCAGGGTCTCCATGATGCCAAGGCAGGGGGACATTGTCCTAGCCCAGATTCCAGCACTGGAGCCCACCCCGGCAGTAGGCAGCTCCTGGGAGTAGGGAGCAATCTCCTTCCCCCACCACCCCACCAGGAGATAGCAATCTTCTGGCCTCCTGCTCTCTGCCAGGCCCTGCATCCAGGGGTGGAAAGCAGGGTGGGAGCAAACCTCCCAAATGCCTGCATGTGTAGAGACCTGCCCAAGGTGCAGTAAATTACTCTGCAGTAATTTACTCCAGAGTAAGCCCCTCTAGCAACATTTAAATATGTAGATACACCCAGTATGACTTTCAGTGAAAGACCCAGGAACCTCTAAATTTTCTAAGTACCACCCTAGTCTAACACTTCCTCCCTAGTCCCTACCCCTCCCCCACCCCCCAAATCCTTAGCTGCAGCCAATGTCCAGTGCTTCAGAGCAGGGGTTTTCAATTTTTTTTTTTAAAGAAGTGAGCCCCTGGCGGCCCCCTTTTAGTAAGTGTCCTCCCGGGGGCAGGGGTGGCGAGCGACTGGACTAAGCAGGTCAGACTGAGCAGGAGTGTGGCAAGTGGTGGAGTGGTGGCAGTGCAACATCTGTGCTGCCCTGCTTTCACCCTGCCCCAGCCCTGCTCCTGTGAGGCAGCACCATGGGGTGGTGGTGCTCTATCTTCACTCACCCCTGCATACCCCCAGGACCTTTCAAAGTACCCTAGCCCCGGTTGACAACTGCTGCTTCAGAGGAAGGCAAAAAAATTCCCAGAAGCCAATGCTATTTATGAAAGGGAAAAAAAAATGTTTGCTAACCCCTGCAAGTGACCAGCCAAAGTGCTGAAGCTTGGGGTTGCTAGACCTCTACCACACTGCACAACTACCACTATACCCAAACATGCACATTGTAAGTACTTGATTTTGCATATAACACAAGGTGATATCTAAACCAAGGCCCTTTATCCTATCATACTATTTATTCCATAACATATTTAGTTTTATCATATAACAAATAAGATTCCTTGCCACCACTGTGTTGCTCAGACGCTGGGCCAATACTTCCATAAGTTCAGCTGTGTGTAACGCTGGCACAGATTTATTTGTGACATTATGCCAGCTTGCATTTGCTTGTGATCTAAATGGCATTCTCTTTAAAAGCAACTCTTGCTGCCCATCTCATTCCGTATGAATTCCTCTCTTCATTCAAGTTCAAGGTTGCTCTAAAATCACTGTTAAATTCATAAGGATGTTAATAATCTAGCCATTTCTAGCATACAATATCCATGCAAACATTTCAAATAAAAGCTAAATGCTTATTTGAAGAGTTTTAATTAAACCATGCCCAAATTCTTACTTGATTTCACCTACTATTACAGAAGAGAGCATTTATTCTATCACAGCAGCTATGAATGGTGTTTTTTAAAACATTAACATAAGCTCTTTTTCCCCCATCACAAATGATTAGCAGAAATATAAAGGGAGAATGTAACAGGGCTCACAGGGCCCTGCTACCTTAAGAGGAAAAGTGCAGCAGGCAACACCTGCAATCAGATGCAGGAAGATGGCTAAGAGATAGCTGCAAGAGAGTAAGCAGCCAGGGGAAGCTGGAGATAGGGATTACAGGGCTACAAGTAACTTCTTGGGAGCTAGCTGCCTGGCAATAGGCAAACAGGGCAAAGCTCCAGGCATGTAGGAAGGTAAGGACTACAGTTCAGTTGAACAAACTGCAGCAGTTGAAAGCAGGCTGTCCCCCCAGATGAGAGGATACACTGGGGGCTGGTTTGAGGAACATGTGACCAGAACGGGTGAAGCGGGGAATGTGAGGTGTATAAACGCTGGTCCCTGAACCAGAGCCGCCAGTCTAGCCCTGATCTCCTGAAGAACTTCAATCAGCCTTCGCTCCTTCAGCAGGGAAGCTGCAGATTAAGGAAGGTATCCTGAAGATTGGGAGGGAGTCAGCAAATAGGGGAAGGGGCTTTGTTGTAATGTAGAGGCATGAGGTAGGGTTTTTAGTCTAAGTCAGAGACTGGTTAGTGTGGGTTTTGTTTTGATTAAACTGGAGGTTTGGGAATGGCTAAAGGGGCAGACCGAGATGACAGAGCCTTCTGAGAAGCACTCTATGCTTTGAACCCTACAAGAGTCTGGGACCCAGTGGGCTCAAGGCATCAAGGCAGCAGCCCTGCAAGAGTTAGGGGCCAGCAGGAGCTGGGGGTAGAGGTAGGTGAGCTGATTTTAATACAGGGTCAGAGGGCCCAGCAAATGGAGCTAAGAGTAAAACCCATGAGGCATGGGGGTGGTTACAGAGGAAGGTGGAGTCAACACTTCATGACCCTAAGGCATGGTTAGGGCCAGGAGGCCATGATTAGGACTAGCAGGGCACAATCAGTGCCAGTGAGGCACAGAATGGAGTTAGTGGACTAATATCTATTGGTGAGAAGGGTGAGGGTATCTGGTTAAACAGTTTGAGCTAGGCCAAGTGCAGATTCATCAAGCTCAGTCAAGGACTCTGCAGGGGGAGCATCCCAAAGCAACATGCACATTGCATTAGGGTGACAAGTGAAGCAGTAAAGGGGTTAGCCTGAGGAGCTGGAGTGGGGCAGGATTAATTCCCCCCATAAAGGGGTGTCATGGATACCCTTGGGGCTAGTCCTGCAACAGGGAATCAAAAAGAACTGAAATGGATTATATCCATGAGCTATTGCAATGGCAACAATACACACAAGACAGCATGCCACTAAGAATGGAAAATAACAAGGCAAAGCCTGGAGTGGAGTGACAGCAACTGCAGGGGAAAGGGCTGCTTGCTTTTTCTTTCATCCCCAGTTGGAATGAATCTCTGCAGCACTTCACCAACTGCCCCATTCCCATATTGCCACCCACCCAATAAAAAACTGAATGGCTCCTCTCCCTGTCAACTAATCCAAATTCATCCCCTAGCTTCCACTGACTGAAATAAATAATGGAACTTGGCTGCCCTGAACTGTGACAAAGGCTCATGTGTCCCTGGGGAGCTGTGATCTCTTTGGCTTAGTTTTATAAGAAATATGACTTTTTTTCTTGACTCTGGGAGCCCCAAAAGACTTGGCTCCCTGAATGAGTCACAGGCCAGATAAGCTGGTAATGTTGACACATGTGCACCTCTGACCACTCTCAGCTCTAGCAGATGGCTTTGCCTCCTGTTGCCTAGGAAAACACTCCATTAGTATCTCCATAAGCCTACTCCACTACCATGTGCAATGTCAGAGCTACATGGATTGTGGCGAGACCTTGAATGGCCTGTGACTTTCTTTCATAGCAATCAGTGACAAACTGTCATGTCTACACTGAGAGAAAGAAGGGATAATGTCAAAAAAAATTATGTTTTACAGTGGAATTCAGAGTCCAGAGGTTTCTGTGAAACACTAATGTCAATAAAACTAAGCTTCAGCCTTTGAAGGTGCCTTCCCCAACTATTCAGAATGCTCACTACAGTGTCTCCAGTTGCCCTTCACACTCAACTGTGAATGCAGTTATGCTTGTCAAATGGGAAAATTATTGTTTAACCTGTGCCTCCAAGGAATTCTAATAGCCCATCTGTTATCCTACCTTGAAGCATGGCTGAGGTGGTGTAATAGTTGAATGGAACATTCTTCACCATGTACTCATCAGTATCCAGTGAAGAGAGTTTGCTTCCTACCAGCACAGATTTCCCAGTGCCTGCATTACCCACAAGCATGACTGGCCTCCGTCGTTCCAGGAGCTTGTCCATGAAGTATCTTACTCGTATGGTTTCACTAGTAGGCACCAGACAAGCCTAGAGAAAGCAAGGTGGAAACACGCGGTGAGTCTCAAGCCAACCTTCCTCTTGCAGCCATAGTCAGATGACAGGTGTGGGGGAATCCTGATCAACCCAAGCAAGATACAAACATGAAAGGAAACATGCATACCCAAAGCAAGCAGGGCCAATGTTCAATAAACCCCTGCCTGACACTTAAATTGAACGTTTAATAACTGCCTTGGTGAAACTGTGTCATTAGTAAAATAGGTTTTTCCTGGGGCTGAACAAAATGTTTCCATCATAAATGTTTCCTGATGAAACTTTTGTAACTAAACAAATTTTCATTAAAATCTCTTTCTGTGGAAAAGTTCCATTTTGTCAAAAAAATCTACCTCAAACATGAAATGCTTCATTTTTTCAGGTAAAAAATGAATTATTTTGTGATATTGCTACAGTGAATTTTCATGAAAAGATCCATGCAGCATGAGAATAGCTATGTGACTAATAATTGGGACAGCACTATATTTTTGCAGGTAATTTTGATCCAATTTGCCCCACCTAGCAAACACATTCCCATTCACTGTAACAAGAGTATCATTTCCGTAACGAACCTTTTTTTTGTAACCACAAAAGACTAAACCAGTTGGGCAGCTTAATGACTTTAGAATTAATATACTTACCTTAGCATGTCACTTTTATTAGCAAACATTCATTTTATCACTCCAGTGCTGATGAATCATAGTTGACAGAGATACCATGTGCACACACACACACACACATATATATAGCCCCTATATTCTTTAAGAGCAGAAAAGCAAACAGATTGACTTACTTGTAATGGCAGTTCTGGATCAAATTCCAATTTGGGGATAAGTTTAGACCAAGGCTCAAACTTCTTTGTTTCTGGATCAATGTAAAAATCAAAGACAGTTCCCTGAGAAGGAAATTTGATGGTCTTAAACTCAGTCACCCACCACTTACTGAACTCTACTCTGTAGTCTACAAGCTGCAAGACAAAATGGGGAAAACATAGGTTAAAGTGCAGAAAATCATTTTTGATGGGAAAGGTTATCTAAACTATCTCCCTAGCCCTTATCTATGATCCCTAGTGTTCTGCTCAGACTGTTTCCATATCAGAATATTTCATAGCCTAACAGAACTGTGCCAGGGCCTCTCTCCTAATATTTAGCTTAATTTTTCATTTTTGCACTTTATTCATACTCCTATTTATAGCCATAAATGCATCTTTCCTGTGTTGTTCATTCTACATATGCCTTAAACTACTTAGATTGGTTGCAAAGAGTTTCCATGATCCTGATTCCCATCATGTTTAGCCAAAGTATGCAAGTATGTATCAGTTTGTTCTGTCTTACCATTCTTATGCATCTTGTTTCGCCATATCCTGCTATTCCTAACAGTATAGATCAAATTTCAATGAAGGAAGGATGACAGTTGCGAGTTAGACACTGAACTGGGACTCCAAAGGTATAGATTTAGTCCCCTGGTCCACCAGAGAAAACCTGTGTGACATTAGGCAAGTCAGAGTGCCTACATAATTTATAATTTTTACATGATCGGGCCCCTAAAAGCACTCTACAGCCATGACGTAACATGCATGCACAGCTGCAGAGCACTTCTAAAATGGCCAATTACAAGAGAGAGGTGTGGTTCACAAGCTGCCTTGGAGGCTGCTGGAGCACCCCCACTTGGTGGTCAGGGCCAGTACTGGCTGGCTCCAGCCCTGCCTCTGACCCAACAGGTGAACATTTGTTGGGTTGGGGTTGGATGGGCTCCAACTCATGATGCTTTATGTAAATTGCCATGAATTAGAGCAGGGCCCTAAACATCAAAGCCCTTATTTACTCTGGCTTTGTTTCCCACGTGTACAATGGAAATAATGGCATTTTATCCTGTGAGTGTTAAGAAAAAAAACATTCCTTAATGTCTCTGAGGTGTTCAGAGGCTATAGAGGGAATGCCTCAATGGTATATTTAACGTATGCAGATTTTCCAAAATCTCACTGAATCTCTCTTATGATTTATTTCTCCCTAGATTTATTTGCTGTGCATGTTTTTCCAAAACAGAAACCCTGATATTCCTACCAGCTCAACAAACCTGTATCAGAAAGCACTGATTTTCACTAAGTTTTAACTGGTGCCTTGTGTGAAAGATTGCAGGCCATTTGCCATCTTGAACTACTCAAGAACCCCCCTACAATCAGTTTTCTAAAAAATATTGTTATCTAGGATTTTGCTGCTCAGAGAGACTGAATAACTGTACTTCATAGTTTTCTTGTTGCTGTAATTCCTCAGTATTGGATGCAGATAAACCTGCCCTCAACAAGGATACAGATGCATCACCGGTAAAAGCTCTCTCACCAATGGGTACCTCACCAATGTGCAGAAGTGCCTCCAGCTCCACTATAATTTGCCATTCACTTTCTATTATGTGATTTAACCGGAGCAATTTAGTTCCAACTCATGTTGCCAAAGATGTGTTAACCTTGAGCTGTTTCCTCCATAAGAACCCCTTGTGGATTTTTGCTAATTTCAGAACCTTGAAATAGCAAATCTATCATCTATTTTTATATAGAGATTTCACACCCACTGGACAAGCATACAGTCATTCAGAGATTTTCTGATGGTTTATCCTGACATTTCATCAGCAAAAGTTCAGAGCAAAGGGTAAGCAGTGGTAAGCAATAAACAGATTTTATATTTGATTATTTTTCATGAGGCTTCTGCTTCGTCTTGTACAGTCTGCTATATGTTCAGATTCCCAGCTCTGATATCAAAAGAAGAAATACATAGTCTAGCATCATAAGCAAAGATTCTGGGCTAAATCCAATTTCACCTTTACATGTCCTGCCCCCTTCCCCCCATCTTTCCCACAGGGTTTGCCCTGGATGGCAACTCTGTTTGATACTCCATTCCTTAGAAGACTGTACTATGTTTATGTGAGCTCCATGGTGGAACAGAATCACCCAGGTATGTGTATCACTGCATTTTACTCCAAAAACCTTAGGTACAGAAAAACATGCCTAATGAGTTTGGGCTCCTATAGATGTGCAGTGTGGCTGATCCAATGTGCTGTAAATCCAGCACATCAGAGTAGATTCGATTAACTGAGTCTGCCTGGGCTCAGAAATTGTTCCAGCAGCCTCCAGTGTCATGTGTATCAGCAGCCAGGCACCAAAAAATAATGGTGAGGTGCTTTGAACTAAATGAGCTTTAGTTCAATACACTCCGCTGATATTTGTTGGTGCAGGGATGCTGATGCACGATGCTCAGGTGTTTTTAATTACCGTGCTAAATAAAGCACCACCTCCCAGAGCATGTCTATCAGTACCCTTTATGACCAAAAACAGAGGCCCTCCTCTTTAGTAGTCAGCATACTTCCCCTGGAAGAACTGACCCAGGTTCATACTCTTCACTAGAGTTGAGTGAACATTCTTCTCCCATTTCCCAGGAAAGTGATCTGGCTAAGTACCAGGCCATGGGTTAGGCATTGCCTGAGCACTTACTAGTCCTTCTCCTAAAATTGACCAATAGGGCAGCTAGGAGAGAAAGATGTGTGGGACCAGGAGGAAAATAAGAGGTAGGAGAGGGCTCAGGGAGATCAATGCTATTCTGAACAGGTGGGTGTGCCCTGAGATTCAAACCATGATCCATAGCACCCATAGGCAAAACCTAGGTTGTGGCACCATCAGGCAGCTAGCTATGCATCTGCTCTAGCTCAGGCTGAACCCTCCCATGAGGGCTACATGAAAAATGTGATTAGAAACAATCAGCAGGGCTTCACCAGGGGCAAGTCATGCCTGACCAACCTGACTGCCTTCTATGATATGGTGACTGACTCTCTGGATGTGGGGAGGCCAGTGGATGTGGTATACCTTGACTTTAGCAAGGCTTTTGATACCACATTCTCACAGGCAAGCCAAGGAAGTATAGTTTGGATGAAGAGACTGTAAGGTGGATAGAAAACTAGCTGAAGCATCGGGCTCATAGATTAGTAATCCATGGCTCAATGTCTAGTTGGCAGCCAGTATCAAATGGAGTATCCCAGGGGGTGCTCCTGGGACTGGTTTTATTCAATATCTTCATCAGTGAGTTGGAAGATGGTATGGAGTGCATCCTCAGCAAGTTTGCAGATTACACCAAGCTGGCAGGGGATGGGGGGTGGAGGGGAGGAAGGAGAGGAAAAAAATGTAAATAGTAAGGCAGGTAC